GACGTCACGGCCAGCCAGTGGCGCACAAGGGGCAGCGTTCGGCTGTGCGAGGGCAGAGAGAATCGATCTGAGCAACGATGGAAACAGAGAAAGTCTTGCCTCAGAGCGTGATAATGGAGACAGAGTGGAACAGAAGAACCACCAATACCCGTTTTTATGCGGGGTGTGTGGGGTTGGTATCCAACTGCTTGGTGCACTCCAGAGTCGGTCTGGACGCTGTGAGAAAGTGAGAAGTACTTTGCCCCAGCCAGAAATCGAACCACAATTCTTGGACCTTTCCTTCCGTTCACTTTGGCGCTCACTCACTCATGGAGCTGAGCTCTTCATGAGAAGCCACCAGTTTTGCAGTTACTCAAGAACTTCTCAGCAATTTATGGAACCCGAAAGTTCGTTACCTTGTTCACAAGAGCCCTCAACTGGATCCTATCCTAAGCCTTATCAATCCAATATATACTAACCCATCCCATCTCTGTAAAGTCTATTTTAATATATTTTACCCGATTATGTCTAGGTCTTCATAGTGGTCTCTTTCCTTTTGGATTTTCCATCAGTATTCTATATTGGTTCTGGACTTAATGGTAGCAAGCATTACCCGAGTTCAGCCTCGTCTGAACTCACTCCTGAAACAGGATAGAAAAAATGTACAAATATAAATTTAAAAAAAAGAAAATCAACGAATAAAAATAAGCAATAAAATAAAACAGAAGGTCGCGGGTTCAAATCCCGATGAGGTCATTGGATTTTTTTCAGCTGGCCTAATCCTTCCAGCCGCACTAGGCCCTAGGCTTTACTCAGCCTCTAACAGAAATGAGTACCAGGAATTAATTAAATAATTTTCCTGGAGAGTAAAGCGCGGCCGGCGCCTAAGGCTGACAACCTAACCGCCATCTTTGAGCCGAATGTCTAGATAGTGTGGAATCCTCAACGTCTCACAACCCTATGGGCCTTCACGGCCTGGTACAGGGATAGCTTTAATTTACTTTTTTTTAATACAGAATTTAGAGAATAATGCACTCAAATAAGACTCCAAGAGTCAAAACTTTTTAACTTGACTGTACAAGGAAGAATGCTCTTGAGACGTCTGCTCGCACTGAATGAAGCCGCATGACTAATCACAACACCCTTCAATTTTCACGAATGGACCTGCCCATCCACTGCGCAGCATTTCTTGGAATGTCACCTGTAAATACTAGAAGTTTAGAAATAGAAATGAGGCAACGACAGAAGCGCTGAGTTAGACACAAAAGAATACAGAGCATGGCTTTTTTGGGTTGTAGTTCAGACGGTTCGGACAGCGGCTGACATTTCATGGGAACACATCACCTCCATCTTATGGGCTGACGAGTAAACGAAACAGAAAACGAGTAGAAGCAGGCCTCAGCTCAGCCTGCCATCTGCTTCTGGTGGTTTCCTGCTTAGCTTACTCTAAAGATGGAGGCAGTATGCTTCTCCAAAATTGCAGGCTTTGTCTGAACTACACAGTGTAACAATCCAGATATTCATCATAGTCACTACCGCAGAACCTCAAAATTTGAGGTTCCAAGTTTATATTAGTTGGACACTTTAAAAGAATGGATGTGAGCAGAATTCTTGGTGTAGTCCCAGATTTAATGCAGAAGACAACTGAACCTAAACAGACCTAGACTGAGAAGGCTTACCGTGCTAATTGACAGTATTAAAAGTATCAACTGAAGAACAGTGCAACAAAATACGGAAAGAAGATACTGGAGACTCTTGGAGGCACAAGCACACATGTCGTGTTAAACAGCTGTTGACTGTGCTGTTCAGATGTGGACATTAACATTACACATACTGAAGTTAGTAATGAAACAAATTTCATTTTAAAATAATCTGTATTACAAATGCAATAATTCAACATATCTTATAAGAAAAACTTAAACATATCTTACACGCAATAATTAAACATTTCTTAAATGAAAAACTTAAACATATCTTACACGCAATAATTAAACATTTCTTAAATGAAAAACTTAAACATAGCTTACACGCAATAATTAAACATACATTAAATGCAATAATTAAACATATCTTCACTGGATGTTACTACCGGACATCAGCATGCCATTAACGTCAGAACAAATAAAATTGAATAGAAATGTGTAAAAACGATTTCCTTAATACTCAGGATTCTTACAGTAACATAAGGAAGATAAATCATTTAACAATCTAAGTACATCATATTGTATTTCTGTAATATCTTCTTGCTGGGTAAGGCGGGTAAGGAACCCACTAATTGAAGACGAATTTCTATGCTCAACAATTATACTAAGTTTTTATTAAAAGAAGTAAAAGATGTAGATAGTATATACAGTGTGTATTCAGTACAAGTTTTTGAAGAAGTCTCCTGCTGTTTTTAATCTTACTGGTATTATATATTAAACTTTAAAAAGAGGGCCAAAGAGGGTGGGGGGAGTCATGAGTACAGAGTTTAAAGGTTCAGTTGTGTACGTGCAGCATCGCGCGTGGACGAACCAAAAAACTTGACTCTCTTCTCTTCAGCTTGGGGGAACATGTTATTGAAGTGTTAAAAGGTCAGGAGTTGATAACATGTATCAGGCTTGCGCCAGACGGTTTCAACTGTCTCATGAAGCACCCTCTTGGCTAACACAAAAATTACACATTAAAATAGTATATAGTATGATCAAAAGTCTAAGTACATATTACAATATTACATTTCATCATCCTGTTGCATTCAGGTATTATCCTTACTATTAAAATACATGGCCAATAAATAATGTAACAATAATTTTTAAAATATAATTAACATTTAAAATATGTTTTAATCCTTTACAATGTTATTAAAATTATAAAATGTCATGCAGTCACTAGAAGTATAACTTATGCACTAAAAGTGATTATCAAATTACTAAAATAACTTTAGTTTTACATATGTTTTCTCTCAATTCACAACATGTTTCGGCCACATATGGACCATCATCAAGCAACTTTTTGTTTTCGGAGAGACCACTGCACTGATCACTTGTCAATCGTGCTCCCATGCACACCGTTGTTCAGTTGTTATCTCATGACTACAGTGCTGCCAATGTATTCTTTTGTGACTATCGCACTGCATGTATATTGTGTATGGGTGTGATTATTTCTATCATGTTTTCTTCATATATCGAATGTTACAATTCTGCGTACTTACGTTTTTGTGTGTCGTATTTCTCCTGTATATGCCCTTCTAGTGCGGTCTTCATGTATACTAAACATAGTGTAGTTGATCCTGCTCATAACTTTCTAGACAGCAATAGATAAGCTATCCAGAAAGATACATAAGCAGGAAAATCTACATGTGCGAACCTCCCACATTCTAACAGACAACTCCAAAGTCTCCCGCCATACAGTTACTCCACTGGGCGATTTTACACCACCAGCAGCCCGTTTTCTGCAAGTTCAGATAGACCTCATGGGGACCCTTCCGACATCAGCGGGCTACACGTATTGCCTCAACACAGTCTACCGTTTCACCCTCTGGCCAGAAGCCGTCCCCATAGTGGTCATCACAGCCGACGCCGCTGCACGAGCCCTACTGACCAGCTGGATATCCCTTTTCGGTTGCTCGCAGACCATCACCACCGACCAGGGACATCAGTTCGAATCTCAACTTTTCCTATCCCTGGCCAGGCTGTGCGGCATTCAGCTCTCACATACGACCGCCCACCACCCTGCAGCTAATGGACTCGTGGAACGCTTCCACCGGACACTGAAGGCAGACATCATGTGCCATGCGGACCAACAGTGGACTGAGGCACTTCCCATGGTTCTCTTTGGGATCCGCGCTGCTTTCAAGGAGGACCTGCAAGCATCGGTAGCTGAGCTCGTGTACGGCGAGCCCTTAAGAATTCCCGCGGAGCTACTAACTCCAGCTACCGACCCCGTGGACCCAGCGCACCTCATCACTGAGCTCCTCTAGCATATGGCCCGCCTCCGGCCAGTCCCAGCAGCACACCACGCCTCCCTGGCTACATTTGTTCACAGGGACCTCAACAGGTGCACTCACGTCTTCCTCTTGCAGGACACAATGCGCCGGGCTTTGGAGTCCCCCTACAGCGGCCCCTAAAAACGGCCCATTTTAGGGCCTCTTCTCGGGAACGCCATAACTAGACCGGAATAACAGCTACGAGAGGAGTGTCCATCCGTACTATTCAGACGCGCGCCCTGCTCGCCTGTAATACGCGTACTAAGCGCAACGATCATTTGTTGTTGTAGTTTCAAGTGGCTATCTCGGTGAACATTGACATCCCACATACACTAGGTTTAGTGCACAGGAAAGCCGCACTAGAAAAGCATGTACAGGAGAAATACGACACACAAAAACGTAAGTACACAGAATTGTAATATATGATATATGAAGAAAACATGATAGAAATAATCACACCTATACACAATATGCATGCAGTGCGATAGCCACAAAAGAATACATTGGCAGCACTGTAGTCATGAGATAACAAATGAACAACGACAGGCAACAAAATGTTGCTTGATGATGGCCCATATGTGGCCGAAACATGTTGTGAATTTAGAGAAAACATATTGTAAAACTAAAGTTATTGTAGTAATTTGATAATCACTTTTAGTGCATAAGTTATACTTTTAGTGACTTCATGACATTTTATAGACTGAGGGTGACTGAGAACAGGGTGCTGAGGAGAATATTTGGACCGAAGAGAAATGAAGTGACGGGAGGTTGGAGAAAACTGCATAATGAGGAGCTTCATAACTTGTACTCTTCTCCAAGTATAATTAGAATAATCAAGTCAAGGAGGATGAGGTGAGCAGAGAATGTAGCACGAATGGGGGAGAGGAGGAGTGCAAATGGGATATTGGTGGGAAAGCCAGAAGGAAAGAGACCACTGGGAAAACCAAGGCATAGGTGGGTGGACAATATTAAAATGGATCTTAGAGAGATAGGATGGGATGGATTGAATTGATCTGACTCAGGATAGGGACTAGTGGAGGGCTCTTGTGAACACCGTAATGAACCTTCGGGTTCCATAAACTGCTGGGCAATTCTTAAGTAGCTGCAGGTTTGGCTTCTCAAGAAGGGTTTAGCTCCATAACTAAGCAAATAATGACGTTTTATGGTTTTAATAACATTGTAAAGGAGTAAAGTTACACTTTTAGTGTTTGAGTAGTAAGGACAATAAGCATATCATGACAGTTTTTTACATTCATGGTGATGGCATAACCTTAAAACGTTCGAATGCTGCTTTTGTGAGAGCTTCTCGGTGTTTGGGATGCGCAATATTAATCAGAGCATATGATCTCTGCTGTAATGATTTTCCAAACAAGTCAGCAATTCCATGTTCTGTGACAACATAGCGGACATGACCTCTGGTGGTAACCACTCCAGCACCTGTAAAAAAAATCATACCAAACCAATTTGAAGAGTTCTCTCTTCTGGGATACAACGCCATGTAGTCCGTTGAGAGTCAACCGATGTTTCAGAGGAACATGTTAACCTCCCTCTTCAGTGCTGAAGAATAAGCCAAGCTAGAAGCCTATATGAAGCAGCAGCAAACAGAGCTCTGTTGATTTTCAACATATTTGGTAGCATTCTCATCACTTTCAGCCTCAAAGGTGGAAATGCATAATGCACCAGCAGATGTGTGACTTTGAAGAAGTTTCTGATATGTGTAATGGCATATACTGATTGGAAAAAGCTGCATTATGATTCACAATCATTTTTCAGGTATTATATAAGTTCTTAGTTCTCAGCCTGTTGGATATGGCTGGTCATAAGACTGAGTTCAGGGTTACTGGGGAGAGGGAAAACATTTTACATCAAAGTCAGTTTTTGCCTCCAAAACTACTCAAATTCTTTCTTGCAGCGACAACTTACCAGCTACCCACAAACTACACGATCTTATCTGCTCTGAGTTGTGTGTTGAAATCAAAGTGAAACAGAATTGGAATTCACTGCACAAATTTTCACAGTCCAACTCAGTTCACGTGCTCATGTAAACAGACACATAGAAACCTATGTCATAGAAACTGGTTAGCATGTTCCAATCAAACTCAAACGAGCATACTGTTTCAGTTGCCAAATAATGTTCTTAAAATTTCAGCTCCCATGATGTCTTATCGAACAATCCGAGTGTTACAGTTTGGAACAGGTTTTTCTTTTCCTGCATATGAAATAACCTCNCCACATTTTCAAAACATCTGTTTCCTATCTTTATGTCATGATTTTGCCCTGCATTTTGGTGATGAGACAGTAACAAAGCCTCAAATCTTACAACATATACTTAGTTTTCTCTGTGTTTACTTCTAGACCAACCTCTTTACTTGCATCAATTAAGGTTTGAGTGTTTTTCTTTATGGTATCTACATTATCACCCAGTAGATTCACATCATTGGCGTAGACCAACAGCTGATGTGTCCCATTTAGTTTCAGCCCCACCTGGCTTCCCTGGACCTTCCTAACCTTCTTAACATCTGTACAGTGGAAAAACTACTGAGCCTAGAAATGTCTTTGCATATATAGATATACACACACATACACAAACTGCAATGGTCTAAATGACTGACAGCCTCACAGCCTACATGGACTAAAGTGACCAAATTAGCAAAAAGCAATTCTATACATCTTGGAGAAATAAATAAACTGTTGGCTTCCATATGTATAATACAAACTCCGTCATAAATGCAACACTTTATCGTAGTTTTTGTCCCCTTCCTTTCACACTACATGTTTCAGCGGCAACCGGCCATCATCAGGTGTATTTTACTTCACGTTGGCTTCCACTAAGAAACAAGTACCCCACACACTCCACGCAAGAAACCGAATTCCAAGAGTCATGATTCTGTACTATATGTATGAGGAATAAGTCTGCTGCCAGAAAAGTGAAGTCTCCAAAACACAGGGCAATCCAGCCTGCCATGACAAAGTGTCATTACTTAAACAATGAATGCACAAGTCTCACACATCAAGCATTTTAACATAAGACAATGCAATATGATTCTTCACTCACCCTGTTGTGACTGCAGTTGCTATGATGGCTGCTCCTGACAACTCATCAGGTGTGGACAAAGTTGTGGGCTGGGGTGGAGGTGGAATGGCTCCAGGACCTGGTGCTACAAGAAAACCACTTCAAAGTCACATACAGATTATCATGGGAATCCTATGTATGACTGGGATATAACTTTATATATATTGTAATGTGTTTTGCCACTGACAGGTGACATGAATGGTACAACGGGAAGTAGGGATCACGTGAACTCTGCGGTCTTGTGAGTGATGTCACATACTCCCGCCCCTTCCATTATTAGGCAACGCTCGGTAAACACTCCATCACTTCCCGCGGTGACGTAACAACACTTCCAGCAGTTACGCAACAGGGGAGCGCATGCAACGATTGTTGCTAGGCAATCGGTAAACATGACATTACGCAACAGTCGTACCTATCAGGTAACTGTTTTCTGTGTTGTCCGTACCGAGCCCAAATAAGGAACAGCAAACACTATTCAGTAGTGAGTTACTAGAGAGAGAGTAACCAGTCAGTTGCAGTCTAGCATTTGCCTGAGTGAGCTGAAGTCCACTGTTATTGAGTTGTATCGAGTGAATGGCAGTGACTCCAGCAGGAGAAGTAATTGTGATACTGCAGATGGCAGTAATTGTGAGATTGTGAATTGTGTAAATATAAGAGCGAATGTGCAATCAATTCGCTATAGCCAATACGGCGTGAAGTTATTTGTCGCGTGACATACCCAACACGTGACAATATATAATTTTAACTTGACTGGTGCAGGTAGGCACCAGGACCATTATTTGAGCGTGTTTATATGTGTTTACGTACCTTCTTTGAGGTAGGGAACAATTTTACTCTCACCAGTCTTAGTCGTTGACTCTAACGCGATTATGGGTTTCCCTTTTTTATCAGCTGCAATAGCAGCACCATAAATGAAGTCAAGTTGACCTCCAAAACCTGTGAAAATGAAATTGTATTAAGAAGCTGGAATTGTTCATTGCTTATTCATTTATTTCCATAGATCCATATAAAGTGTAAGGATGTGGAAATTGTCATAACCAATAGAAAAGGAAAAACAATATAAACATACACGTACATTTAGTCAAGCAACACTAGACAATATCATAACATTTGTGGGCACAAAAACAACACTAAAAAACCTAATAATTGAAAACTATATATGATTAACTACCTATCACAGTGGCCTCCATAGTCTAGGGGTAACGTTCCCATCTCATGACTCAAGGTACGCGGGTTCAAACCCGGCGGAGTTCGTGGAATTTTTAAGGACGGAAAATTCAGGGGAAAAGTCCTCCGGGAGGGATTTTAAGCCGTGGATCCCGTGTCGTAGATCTACGGCACGTAAAAGAATCCTCATGTCTCTAGGAGACCTCTGAGCAAAATTAGGCAACAATTTCCCGCCCAAGTAGTTTCCAATGCCTCTGGTATATGGGGGAAATATCAGGTACCGACGGCCGACCTCGTTGGCTGAACGGGGCTGATAGCACGCACCGGTACCGGTAGGGTATGGCGACAGTATAAATTAAAGGGGGACGCACAATGGACCAATAACTGGTCTAAGTGCATGGGGAAACCCACCCCCTCTAATAATAATAATAATAATAAAAACTACCTATCACAAAAAAATTATATACCTATTTTTATCACATTCAAAATCAGAATATTCTTCCAATGCATAAAATGAATGGCTGATATAAAACCTTTAAAATTATTGTATAATTGCATTAAGAATAAAGGAAGATTATTAAACACCTTGATACCTATATAGCAAGTTCCCTTCTGATATAGTGACAGATGAGCTGAGAGTCTATAATGATTAAGATTGTAACCTTGTCTTGTATTTCTGTTATACATATCTGATATAAATTGGTATGAATCTATGTTATCAACCACAAAATAAAATAAAGAATAATGAATAAATATACTGAGACGGGAGAGAGAGAATTGTTAATGTTTTAAATAACTGTCTACAAGAGATTCTATTACAAATACCTGCCATTATTGTATGTGCCCTCTTCTGCACATGAAAAACATTAATAGCATGTGAAGAATTTCCCCAGGAAATAATACTATAATGCATAATAGAATGGAAATAATATGGCTTAACAGTTCTAATCGCATAAGAGACAGGATTAAGGTTCAGAAGAAGTTGATCAACATGTCTCTTCCATGAAAGTGTGTTTACGATATTAATTCCTAGAAACTTTGTATAACATACATCAGAAATTTTCTTGTTGCTATATGCAATATTAATATAGTTGTCCTGCTCATAGAATATTTTTACTGTGAATTTGATATAATCTGTTTCGGAAAAGTTAAGGATAATAAATTGGCATTAAACCATATATTTAAACTTTTAAAAACTTCAGTTAATCTGTCTTGGAAAACAAAGGGATCAGGTTCATTAATAATTACACTAGTGCCATCAGCAAAGAGGATAGGGATAGAAATTTTATTTAGTAAGGTCCCAAAATGGAAACTTCGGGACTCCATGTGAAATTTCAGCTCAATTTGAATATGTATTTACATATCGTAATCTTACTCATTCAAATCTTTCAAAGTATAATGTTATTAATTTGTGCATTATGCCTGAAGTACCATAAAACTCTAATTTAGATAATGAAACAAAATTACTTCACTGCAATTAAGTAAAACAATTCGTACCTGAGTACATCCGTGTTCCAATAGAGTCAGCATTTACTTGTCCAGAGAGGTCCACACTTATGCAAGAGTTAATAGCAGTCATTTTTGTTTGCTTTGAAATGATATCTGTATCATTCACGTGGTCCACTGCAAGCATTTCTGCAAAAAGGGACCATTACTGCATTTAACTACTTCAGTAAATAACACTGCATAACAAAACAAACTTTCTTCTTCTCTCTTATTTGAAGAAAAGCTAGAAATCCGGTAAATATAAACACGCTGAGCTTGACAATTTTGGCATTTCTTCAGCCAGTTGGTGCATGCATGACAATCTCCTGACCATGACTGACTCACATCTGGCACTGCATTAACCAGCAGTTGCATGCCTGCCACTTCCCACACTGAATCTCTGTGACATGTTAACTTTCCCATATTTTTCAAAGAAATCATGAAATCAGTTTTACAAAAGAAACAGCACGTGGTAGAACACTTTTAGTGACATTTTCATAACCTGTACATAAAAATAACATGAAATCACATAAATTCTCATTAGGGAGAAAGTCATTGCTGTTCAGTGAAATATTTATTGATCAAGGGTCTGTGTATCAGGTAAAGAAATCAAATTGTCTGGCCTTCTGCTTTCATTAAAAATGTGGAGCATTTATTTAAAGTTCTCTCATGTACAAGAGCAGCACATCATAAGGGTATATTAGATGCAAGTGAGTGGTCAGATTCACGTTCTGGCTGCTTATCCGCCTGTAGAAAAGCCCTTAGTATACGCTGGACAGGAGAGCGAATGGGCCCCAAGGTTCGGCATGAGAAAAAGATTCTTACCTCCACTGGGAACCAAATCTTGGCTGTCCAACTCAGAGCCAACCACTTTACTGGATGATTGAAATTGACTCTAAACTTCAGAGACTAACAGTTTCCAACACTGGGGAATGATGTAAGAAGCAACACAGACTGGCTGATACATTACCCAAGACTAATAAAGAATTCTTGATTTGCATCGGAGCCTAGTCACCCTTTCCCAAAACTAATCAAAGAATACAATGACGACTATGTCTAATTGTAATTAGGCTCTGTCAGTCCAACAGACACAAAGACAGGCAGACACACACACAAGCATATGCACACATAATGTTGAACAATTCCACAGAGAGTTCTAGATGTGCCAGACTTTTACTCCATATTGATGCTGCTGAACACACCAAAAACACTTAAATCAATTTAATCATAATCAGTTGGAGAATTCATGCATTCTGTCGGGACTGAACTTCTGCTCTATACATTACCTATGGAAGGATTGTCATGAACAAAGTCATACAGCTTTTGAGATCCCATGAGAAAAGATCCAATTATCTTTCCCTTGTGCATTGATTTCTCGCTGTTTGTTATTGCGCCACATTTCACTAAATCGACGACTCCATCACTGAACATTTCAGAGTGGATCCCCAGATGTTTATGACCCTTTAATGCTGACAGGACAGCGTCTGGTATGCTGCCAATGCCTGTCACAGAAATAAAGTGTCTTATGAGTTGTGAGGTTCTCATGTCCTTTTGGGATGTGATGCTGCTTAGTTTGGTAGGTAAGTACCAATGTTTCGGAGGAAACTGCTGCCTCCATCTTCAGGGTAGAAAATGAAGGTAGCTGGTATCTCTGAAACTACCAAATTACATTGCAGAAGTTTGTATGATCATTTACAAAATCTAGATCTGACTATGTAAGACAGCAGAGTAAGTAGTAGTAAGCAGCATATCTGTGATTACTTCCCTGTGTTTTATATTTATGTATACTGCTACATGCACATTATAGTTATGTACAATTCCATATGATGTACAATGCAGACACCACATTCTTGAGAGCATTTTGTAGAAAAAAACAGCTGTTAATTATGGTTCATACTGAACCAATATGAAAGAAAAGTTTTCCTCCTGGTGCTTAATTAAGTATAACTACTTCTATATATGGAGCTCGAATTTAACTTTATCAATTATTGTTCACATACGAGTAACTAGTATAAGGAATCAAATATACGTGCAGCTGTGGAATTAATAGAAAATTACAGATCTAACTGCAAAATTGTATTTTTCTAAAGCCTTGCTAATTAATCTAATTCCAGCTTCTTCTGTGTAAAATCACAAAGAACACTTTCATAAAATATGTTATTCACAATGAACTATCAGATTACTTAGCAAAGTGCCTGAGAATTAGATACTATTACTATAAATTTGAAGTACAACTTTCCACTTTCTCCTTTTGTTTTTGTAGAGCAAAGATCAGGTTAAGGCAGTCAAGATTAATTTTATACCCATCTGCAGAGTTGCTCCATCTTCCACAAGGTTTTCTGCTATTAATTTTCCAATTTCTTTTTCTGCTTCACTTGGTGCCTTCCTCTCATGCTGTACAATAGGACAGTCCAATTCAACAGCATAATCAATTTGTGACTGATGAATTACAGTATCACCGAAGGTTCTTGGCATTTTCTCATTCACTTGAGCTAGAATCAAGAAATAAATTCATAGATAGAGAAGCTTCAGATATGTAGTAAGTTAAGATAAAGTTGTGGCTGTGTTTAATTCATTATGGAATGTGAAGACGTATGGGGGAGTGGAATTATAGCTCCATCATTCTTCACCTAGGCACTAGATGGAGGTGAGTGGTCAGCTTCACAAACTTGCTGCTTTACACCCAGGGGAAGACTTCCTGGTACACATTGGATAGGAGGCTGGGTGGATCCCAAAGCCAATCTGGACACTGTGGAGGAGAGAAAGATCTTAACCCTGCCAGGAATTGAACCACAGCTGTCCAGGTCATAGTCCTTCACTATCCTGATTGAGCTATCTTGACTCCATCTGAGATGTGACACCATGTTAGCTGGCAGCAGTGTTTCGGAAGAACACATGGCCTCTGTCTTCACAAGAAAGGCAGGAAAGTTCTCCATCCCAAGAGACCGTGAACATGACATTAATTTCTCTGAGAACCTCAAATCTGTTACAGAGAAGCTCTAGAATATGGCAGGAATTGTAAGTCAGGGTTTCTGTCACATTATGTTCAGCACATTGTGCTGGCACCCTGGCATCAGTGGGCTCTGAATCAATTTGAATCTTACCTATAATAGTTTTGCTGTGCATGAGGGCTGCAGGGACACAGTCCACACTTGTCCCGAGACTGCAGAAGCCATGACGATCAGGAGCTGATACCTGCGATAAGCAAATTCGTATCATAGCACACTTACTATCTACACTGTTTTTTTCCTCTTCCAGAGCTTCCTCTGACCCCAAGAATACAGGATGAGTAATGTGCAGTAATAATTATAATGCACAGACAGGAATAAGGAGACTTTAACAACCACATAGACAACTGCAGTATGTCCCTGTGAAATACTGCTGCCATGAACGCTATATTATGCAATGCAGGTATCTATCATCAGCAGATTTTATGGGGATGGAAATAATTAAAAGAAGAAGTAAATATATCAAATATTAATCCCAAAATTAAAATTATTTTTGAACAGTAATTGGGCAAACAAGTTTTCTGGCTGCCTCTGCTTTAAAACAGTCCTGGCATTTGCAATACAATGTGACAACCCGGAAAACCGCAATGTTATTCAGAACATAATTACTTTTTAAAATTCTAGATAAAATCTAAACATCGCTGTTAATTCTCCATGTTTAAGGATTGCTATCAATTATTTTTCATCGTTTATTTATTCATTCATTCTTTCATTTACTAAATGACGTTTCTAAGCTGTACTGATTATGTGATACCCAATTTAAAATCATGAACAACGAACTGAGAACCAGGTGAAGAAGACTTTAGGGTAATATTTCAGTATTTTCTCAGAAGGACCGAAGAAAACCAAAATATAACTCATGATATCGGCCTCTGGTTCTCCTGAAAATGAATCAGGAGCATTAACCACTCAAATATAGTGCTGAGTTCTAATGTGTTTAACAAGCCATTGCCTAGCAATGACAGGGGAGAGTAGACAGACACACAGACAGCGGAATGATTTCATAAGCTACTTTTTATTTTTTCAAAACAAGGAACATAAGTTCAGAAGGGCTAAAATTGTCTCTGTGCTTAAATAAGCGCCATGCTTTGGAGATGTATTGAGGAGCTGCGGTAGAGCTCCATGCATAATTAAACTCAGAACTTGATGGAACTGAATGGTCAGCTTCATATTCAAAACGCTTTACACCTGAGGGAAGTTTCTCCAGTATCCACTGCATGAGAGGGTGGGTGGCCCCAGAGCCAGTCTCAATGCTCTGGAGAAGAGATAACTCTTGCCTCTGCAGGAAATTGAAACCCAATTTCATAGTCATCCAGCCCATAGCTCAGTTTCTCTACCAAATGATATGTCCTGCCTCCAGATGTTTTACATAAGCAAATATTAACTCCCATATTGTAATGCAATAAAACAGGAATTATAATAAACTGAAACAATAAACCTACCTGAATAAGTGATATGGATGGTTGAAATATCTTTTTGTGGAACAATGAAGGTATCTGTGACAGAAATATGGGCACAGAATCAGCATGTCCCTCGGCTATACCCTTGCGAACATTGGCTCCTATGAAGAATGAGTAGGTACGGAATATTCCTGTATAAAATTGAGAAAGCAAAATAATGAAATTTAAATTTTGCAGGACTGGAGCCGTATACAATACTACACAAAGATACATCAACTGTATTTGTAAACCTTCCAACGTCTTTGCAGGGCATATATCCTAAAAGTCTGCAAGAATAGATACTACACAGAAAGTTGATCTAATTATGTTCATCATCATATTGATATAATGTTACATACAGATGAAAGTAGGATTCCATAACATAGCAAATTAAGATATTAATAAATGACCACTTGATACACAACATGAAGAAGGAGTAGGGGGTGAATAAATACAGATACAATGAGAACACAAAGCCCTGTCATAGGAGTAGACACGAGAGGAGTGCTTATGGGAAGACAGAGAGAACAGAGTAGACACAAGACGAGTGCCTATGGGAAGACAGATAGGACAGAGTAGACACAAGAGGAGTGCTTATGGGAAGACAGAGAGGACAGAGTAGACACAAGAGGAGTGCTTATGGGAAAACAGAGAGGACAGAGTAGACACAAGAGGAATGCTTATGGGAAGACAGAGAGGACAGAGCAGAAACTACCTGAAAACAGACACAGCACATTCTTATGAAGTGATGGTACCTGACTATGGAGTCTGTTTACCTTCATAGTCTTTGTGTGAGTAGGGTGCAGGTCCTTCTGTGTGAATGTGACACACTTTGATGTCCTTCAGACGGGCTTCCTTGGCCACAGCTGTCATTGCTTTAACCAGAGGAACCGGTGTAGCTGCTGCACCTTGTATAAACACTGTGTTACCTAAGAATGGGAAACATTGAAGTGCAGAAGTTCTGTTAGTCCCTTACTGCATTTAACATAAGTTTAAAATAAAGCAAAGTGTCCCTTTGCTTAATTAATTAAGCATGATTCCATGAAGGCATGTGGGAGAGTGGAGGAATAGCTTCAACATTCTTGACACTCAAGACACTTTACACTCAGGGAAAGGGCCCGCAGTGCCCATTGGCTGGGTGGGCGCCAGAGCTGGTCTCGACACTGTGAAGAAGAGAAAAATTTTGTGTCTACCAGAAATTGAACCCCAGCTGTCCAACCTGTAGGCTAGTCACTATACTGACTGAGCTATCCTAACTCCCGACTGCGTTTAACATGCTGAAACAAAGCATGCAAACAACACACAATATCTATGTTACTTATACTGAAGCAAATCACATTACAGCGCACAAGATGTGAGTCCAACTATTATATAATCTGATCAGCTGTGGTCTGGCCTCCACGAGCACAGTCATTCTTAATGCTGGGCCCCACCGGATCCTCGCCATATCTTTTTTTGTCTCACTACTCTTGACTTGTATAGTCTAAGGTTAATGACAATGCTGTGAAATAAAGCACATGATAGACGGAACTTTGTGACTGTACATAAACTGTAGTGCTGATTATGCATGTTTATAATTTAAATGCTTGCATTTCTAGTGTATATTTGTAAATAATTTGTGATTGATCTCTTTCTTGGTGCAAAATATTATTAAAAACCAAAATATTGTGACGCGTTACCTTACGTCCATCACCGCGACAACCGCTACGATCGGAACGCACACTTCCACGACAACGAATACGTGGAAATTGTGGAGTTCCCGCAGCGACAAATCGTAGCAACGAATTGTCGTTGAGTAACAACGTATGAGACGAAACACGTTACCGCTGTAATCTATAAGGAACGTTCCCGAAACAACGGATTGCCGAACACGTGAGATGGAACCTTGGCGAGGGGTGTCCTCTATTGAGTCCGCGTGCGCTTTATATAAAGGGCGTGGCCTCGAACGGAAGTCGAGTATTAGAGAACTGAGAATTGAATATTGAGACAGAAGCCAAGTGCTATTACAACTGATAATAATTGTAAAGAGTGTAAGACTGACTATGCAATAAAGATTCGCTAAATCCGAGACTCACGTGAAGTTATTTGTCTCGTGACATACCCAACACGTGACAATATTTATTAGGCTCTTTCCGGTTGTTGAGGTTAAAATTGGGCAGCCAGAAGTAGTAATTGTCTGTTTACTTAAGGAGTCTTTAGAGACAAATATGACACAGGTGCGTGAGGGGCCTTGAAACGCTTGATTTAACGGGAAATTATACCGAAGGTCGCGGCATAGGTGTTTCGACTACCGCTTCGAAATCGATTTGTCGGTCGCGGCGAAAACTTTAACTGCAAACTGATCACAAAGTCTTCCTTTTCAATAATGTCTTTCGATTCTATTCTACACTTCACATCACTTCTAAAATAAAACTGTAGAACGGAAATTCTGCGAAAATTGTGCATGCAATATGTGATATCATGATGACAGAGGGAGATGTAGGCCTGGTATCAACGTGTGCAATATTTGCACAGAATTTCTATCCCGAACAGTTAACATGGCACGAGAATTTGTCTCTTAAGTTGACAAAATATTTTGCTCTGCTTCCTACAGAAAAATCATATTTCAGTACTTAATGTAACTGGTAAGAGTACACCCGGGTATCGTTGCTTGGCAAAGGCTCGATAAAGACCATCCCTCCTTTCATTGCTAGGCAACAGCACGGTAATCCCCTTTCTCCCGGAAGTGAATACACGCAACACCAGAAGAATTGTTGGACGCGTGTGTCTGTCGGTCTATCTCTGTATCCCTAATCGCTGTTAGATAACCCAGTAAAGGCGTTCCCGTTACGACGAAGGTGTCGTTTTCTATACAACCCGAGTCGTATGAAAGGAAACTATGCGATTACTTCTTTGTGCTGGCGAAGGCCACCAGCAATTTAACCGATCGACCCATAAATGTTTGTGTAAACCTGTAAACCTATAATACCGGAAATTCAAATGCGCATCGCTACTTAATGATGCTGTACCACTTTCNTACCTCAACATGAATATATATATATATATAGTAGTTAGGTTAACCATCACACAACAAATGTTTCTGCTTTCAGTGTTTTTTCAATAGGCTTTTTAGTCCTGCTACATGTTTCGGTCGTACAAGACCATCAACAGGCAGTTAATATACGCGTACGTTAGTTACTGGACTAGCGATGTGGATCCATACTAGTGCAACATATCATATTGTGACATGTCTAACCAAAACGGCGTGAAGTTACTTGTCGCGTTACATACCCAACACGTGACAATATTATATAATAACAGAAAATTTGCCTCAAGCTGGTAAATATTACAATAAAAAATAAGATAAAAGATAAACCATATAAAAATTAAATATTTTTTATGCTCAAATATATATTAGGTGATATAAATGTTGAATATATTGCACGAATATTAAATATTAAAAAATGATTATCTTTTAAAATATTTAAGTATGATAATTAATTCTAGGTTCCAACGCTACAGTGTAGAATTTGACATGTTATGTCATTTGTAGATCTTTGTTGATAGAAGCTTTGTACGTAGTAAGGCCGACCGTGGAGCCCAGAGACAAGTTTCTATGATATACGGGTTGTTAATGCGTGATGTATTGGATGTGAATATTTCCGATATGTGCCTTTGTGTCATCATAAAATGTGACGTATGTAATTTTGTCTGGGCGTCTATATGTTCGACGTGTTCTAACTGTACATTGGTTTGAAGTTGCTGTGTGGCGGTTAGCCTAACTCTCTGCCAGCATAGCGCGTAACTCTCACAGAGAGTTTTGCTAGTACTCACCAGAATTTAAGGTGCGCTTTAATGCTTCATTAGCTGAGACAAAATTTGTCCCAGCAGGTGCTTTGCTGTACTGAGAGAAACATCTTAGGGGGTTCAACTGTAACACTTTCTTGAACGCGTTCATATTGCTTGCCTCTTCGTAACTTGTCAGACTCAAGAGTTACTTTAAGACTGACAGGGGTTTCTATTGATTATATAGCCCCGGCACAAACCGAATTGAAAACACCGCTTACAACAATTCCTCTATTGTTGCATATTTGTACGTTGCAGCGGAAACGTATTTACCGATCGTTGTATAGCAACGAAAGGAGAGATACATTTTACCGCGGCTTTTAGCTAACCTTATGCCTACTGTTGAAGTTAAACAGAAACCAGCTACGATGGGTGGTGGGACTATTACAGGATACTGTCACCTTATAGGACACCTCTTCAAACTGGGACTAAGTGATAGTCCCACTTGTGAGAGGTGTCTAGAAGAAAATGAAACAGCCACACATATCCTGTGTGAATGTGAGGCCTTAGCTTATCTAAGATTACGTCTGAAGATTACGCACTGAAATAAAAAGACATCCTGTTGATACCACTGTCTATTTATGTGAGGGCCCCTTGCACGACAGAACCTTCTCAAACCCTGAAGAAATGGTCTGAATACCATGTCCCTGTAGCGTTCTTAGGTGAGGGTAAGAGCATTGCCTTCCTCATCCTCAATGAAATATGGGTCTAATGTACTGTGTGCTGAGACAGCACACCATATCGTCACACGTGTACTGTGTAGCGGTTTCTGGACGATAACATCTGGCCGCTCAAAACCAAAGAAACGAGTTTTCTGGCGACGACTTCCGTATGAGAGGAAATAATACTCATCTATGAATAATTTTTCCTCCTTCGAGAAACATATTTCCAACAAATGCACAACACAACTTCCTTTTCACTACTGGGAACACGTGCTGCTGGAGCTATGCCCCGTCGACAAACGCACATGCGCTTTCGAGATGCACGAGTTTCAGTACTGGATTTTTTACGCATACTGTACTTAGAGAAGAGTACAAGTTATGAAGGTCCTCATTATGCACTTTTCTCCAACTTCCTATCACTTGATCCCTTTTCGGTCCAAATATTCTCAACACACTCTTCTCAAACACCCTCAGTCTATGTTCTTCCTTTAATTTTAGAGACCAAGTTTTACACCCATACAGAACCACAAGCAAAATTATGATTCTGTATATTCTATTTTTATGTTTTTGGACAGCAGACGAGAAGACAAAAGGTTCTGGCCTGAATGGTAGCAAGCATTACCCAAGTTCAGTTTTCTCTTAATTTCCTTCTCAATCAGGTTTCGATCTGTTATCGTTGTTCCCAAATATCTGAACTGTGCCACATTTTCAAAACATCTGTTTCCTCTGTTATTAGGAATATTAAAGCGAAAACTACTACAATACACACATCCCTATATACGTAAAGGTTAACAGAATCTGGTGAAAGTGAGGTAAATTTGTCCGTGTGCTCGACTAACTGAACAATACGCCATGAAGGTGTATGGGGGAATGGATGTATAGATCCATATTTTCCTTGACCTAGTCAATAGCTAGAGGTGAGTGGTCAGCTTCAAGCCCCAGCCGCTTTACCCCCGGTACCGTTTGTGTGAACCCCAGAGTCGGTATGGACGACGTGGAGAAGAGAAAATTCTTGTCCTTACGGGGACTCTAATTTCGATCCTTCAGGCGTCCAGTCCGTAGCCAGTCGCTATACTGACTGCGCTATCCCGGCTCCTCACGTCCAGCCCGTAGCCAGTCGCTATACTGACTGCGCTATCTCGGCTCCTTACGTCCAGCCAGTAGCCAGTCGCTATACTGACTGCGCTGTCTCGGCTCCTCACGTCCAGCCCGTAGCCAGTCGCTATACTGACTGCGCTGTCCCGGCTCCTCACGTCCAGCCCCTAGCCAGTCGCTATAAATAATAAATTAAAGTTGATATTTATTTAATTTTAAAGTTACGAGTAATATTGTGTTTAAATAGAAGTAGACAGTTGCTCCAACTTTGGAAGCGAAAGTGTACGCGGGCACCAGTGCCATTCCACTCTCTGTTTCTCCTGTTTGCTGGGTGTGGTCGTCCTGGAAGTTGAGTGATTGGTGCGCCTCCGCCTATGCAGATTTGCAGTGAAGTTGCGTCGTTACTGGACCTGTTCTACAGCTGTGTTGCTGGTGGTGGTTGCTGACTGAAGGATATATTCTAATTTACACTCCATGCAAAATAGTAACTACATTTCATATATCCAAATGAAGACGTTATCAAAGCTCACAGAACGGAAACAGACAGTCCGTCACCTTCCATATACTACCATTCAAGGAGGCAAGACGGATTTGTAGCAACCGCCGCTAGGCAACAGCAAATTGAAGCGGAGTAATGGAGCAGCTTTCGGAAGTCCAATCGCAAAACATTTATTTCTCATGACTTCCCTGCAATATTGGCTTCTGAATGAGAGACGTGCTCCTCCGCAGGTGCTTCTGATTAATTCCATTTTCAACCGGAGGCAAACTCTTACATACACATTATATATATATCTATGTGTGTGTGTACTGTATAGTTCTATTTGTTTTTTTGTTTACAAAATGTTATTATCACGTAAAACTGCCTTGTCTGTAGTTAGCTAGTTAGTTATTAGAGAGTGTGGGTTTCCCTATGCACTTAGACCAGTATTGGTCCATTGTGCTTCTCTCTATGATATTCTACCAGTCTCTATACCCTACCGATATTGGTGCGTACCATCAGTCCCGACCGAGCCAGCGAGTTCGCCTCTACTGGCTTGGCGGTATCTATAATGCTTCCCCCATCTACCGGAGGCGTTAGAGACTACTGTTGGGCGGGAAATGTCCTGAATTTGTCTCAGTGACCTCCTTTGGACTGAGATACCGATTAATTGTTTAACAAATTCTCCTGTTCGAGCGCGCGTCATTTAAAACATCGTGACAGATTCTCATTTTAAAAACTGGAAATAGGGAGAGAGGGTGTGGACTGAATTTAATTGCCTCAAAATACACGTATGGACACGTGGTGACTTCTTGTGAGCAAGTTTATGAACCTTTGTGTTCCTTAAACATTAGACTGTTGACTAAGAGAAAGATCATTAGCCTCTGATCCAGAGAATTAGTTGCTTGAACTGAAGTGCATTTGCGCTTTGAAAAGTGAAGCTACTGAAATTGTTAATTTTACTGAATGGCCTTCTGAAGCTAGAGGCTCTGTCATCAGTTCTCCCGTCAGTGGGGTGATGAGTCGCTGCTGAGGGACACGGCATGACCTTCAGAAAACTATTGGGACAGAACTGCATTGTTCATTGCAAGGTGCCTGAATTAGGTCGTTTATTCTGGGAAGATAACTCATCATGAAAACATACATACTGTAACATGTCGGCAATCCAGAAGAGTCACTTCTGTGGAAACGCCAGAATAGACCGTTGCATAATAAACAACAACTGCTCTGCTGTAGTTCTAACAGGAATCTCCACGGTTACGACGAATACGCAAAGCGTTCCAACAGAGATAACGCAATAACAATGGGTCATTGCGTAGGAAACGCGGAACCAGCAAAGCAGCGTTTCCCCGGTGATAGACAACAGAAGGCTTACTGCGTTGGGTGTATAACGCGACAATACATACATTTTAAAATCTGTTCCATCGAGAAAAACATAGAACTCCCATGTTCAACATATACAGATGAACTGCCTAGTTTGTTGTTGTCCGAGAATTTCACAGATTACAATATTATGATTCATATCAGAGGCATATTCCCAGAAAGCAATAAAGAAATGCGCTTGGGAAGCAATAATTCCCTTGTGTCCAATCTAAAGCAGCGAATACTGTCTACTTAAAAATGGCGTCGGTTATAAATTAAAACACCCAACTTTGCGTTGGTTAGGAAAGTGTGGCATTACATCTTCGTGACATCCTCATGCATATGGCATTAATTTTCCACAAATATCAGGTCCACATTTACAGTTGCGTGGGTCCCCAATAAATCAAAATTCGGAGACCTCTATTGGTAAAAACGAATTCATGTTATCACAATTCTTTCAGCGTGTTTCTCACAACAGCTTACTTACTTACATACTTACGTACGTACTTATAGACCTCAGCCCTTCTTGAGGAGAAGCCAATTCTGCAGCTACTCAAGAATTTCCCGGCATTTTATGGAACGCGAAGGTTCATTACCGTGTTCACAAGAGACCTCCACTGGTCCCTATCCTGAACCAGATCAATCCAATCCATACCATCCCATCCTAACTCTCTAAGATCCATTTTAATATTGTCCACCCACATACGCCTTGGTCTTTCCAGTGGTCTCTTTCCTTCTGGCTTTCCCACCAATATCCTATGTGCATTCCTTTTCACCCCCATCCGGGCTACATGCCCTGCCAACCTCATCCTCCTTGACTTCATTATTCTAATTATACTTGGAGAAGAGTACAAGTTATGAAGCTCCTCATTATGCAGTTTTCTCCAACCTCCTGTCACTTCATCCCTCTTCGGTCCAAATATTCTCCTCAACACCCTGTTCTCACACATTCTCAGTCTGTGTTGCTCCCTTAATATCAGAGACCAAGTTTCAGTCCCTTACAAAACCAAAGGCAAAATCATAGTTTTGTATATTCTAATTTTTATGTTTTTAGACAGCAGACGAGAAGACAAAAGGCTCTGGACTGAATGGTAGCAAGCATTACCCGAGTTCAGTCTCCTCTTAATTTCCTCCTGAATCAGGTTTTGATGTGTTATCCGCATTCCCAAATATCTGGACTGTGCCACATTTTCAAAGTTCTGTTACCTGTCTTTATGTCACGATTTTGCCCTGCATTTTGGTGAAGAGACAGCGACACATACTTAGTCTCTTTCAGACCAACCTCTTTACTTGCATCAATTAAAGTCACTTGATATCCTTACAGTAATAAAAATGTGAGTTCAAATGACGTTTCTTATTCAGTGCCGGACTAAACTAGACTTAATTCGAGAACGGTGTGGAATCGACCGGTACTTTATTAAATATACAGCCCTACTATCAATGATTCATTCGTTTTTAAAACGCTATATTTTCCAAAATAATACACATACAAATATGATTGATATATAAAAGGAACCATAAACTCACCAAG